GTCAGCTCACCCAGGTCTGTGCACGTGTGTCTCCTCTGCAGCTCCGACTTCACGTAGGCGAGTCCTGCAGTGTCAGCAGTGGCAAAGACCAAGTCGTCGACGTACACGAGGATGTAGAACGGCGGCAGCGAAGTGTCGGTGCGCAGGAACAGCGACGGGTCAGCTGTAGAAGGCGCGAACCCAAGAGCCGCAAGTGTAGTCCTCAGTGTGTCGTGCCACTCACGCGGAGCCTGGCGGAGACCGTAGACCGGCCGCTGAAGCCTCCACTGGGTACCAGGAGGAAACGACCCAGTGAAGCCAGGTGGGCGGCGCAGCCAGATCTCCTCGTGCAGGCTGCCCTGCAAGAAAGCAGTGCTGAAGTCAAGTGAGTGAAGCTCGTAGTCGCGGTGAGCGGCTATGTGCAGCAGCACCCGAAGAGTAGTCATCTTCGGGGTGGGGGAGAAGGTCTGGAAGAAGTCAACTCCCTCTCGCTGACTGAAGCCTCGAGCCACGTAACGCGCCTTGAAGACAGGCGGAGAACCCGGCGGCCGCTTCACCCTGAAAATCCACATGCCACTGACGATGTTCGCCCCAGGAGGGGGAACCTCGTCGACGTAGGTGCGTGTGGACTTCCAGGAAGCCATCTCGGCGTCCATGGCTGTCTGCCACTGAGAGGAGTAGGGACCCGCCATCGCCTCAGCGTAAGTGCGCGGGGTCGGGATGTCTGGTGCATCCGGGTCTCCCTCAGGGGCAACTAGCAAGGACACGAGACGGGGCAAAGCAGCAGCAAGACACTGGAACTCCTCCTGTCTGTCCTCAAGGACGTCCGTGCCGAGAGCACACTCACCCCCGACGGACGGAGGACAGACAGACTCAGACTCAGACTCAGCAACAAGGCTAGCAGCGTAGTCTAGACGACAGGCAGCAGCAAAGTCAACCAACTCAGCGACCAGAGCAGACGCAGCCGAGGACTCAAAGGTAGGGTCAGTGACAACAGTAGCGAGGAGACGCGTGACAGTAGGGTGCTCAGCACGATACCGGTCAGACTCAGGGTCCGGAACGTCAGGCAAAGAGGACGCAGGAGGAGACGGTAGAGGGACACGCTGAGGAGCAGTAGAGGGACGCAGAGTCATATAGTGAGTGCCTGGGACAGGAGGAGGACGCTCACGACGGACACGACTACCAGTGCGAGCAGGACGAACAGGCGACGCAGGACGAGACTCAGGCTCACGACGCTCTGTAAGACCTCCTGTGGGACCAGTGTAAGGAGAGGGAGCAGGGAGAGGCGAGGTAGGCGGTAACTGTGACTGCGGCTGGACAGGCGGAGGACACTCTACGGAGGGAGGAGGACAAAGAGGAGGAGCCTGCCCAAGAACCTGCTGAAGGAGCGGTACGAAGTACGGTCGCGGCCGCGCAGCGTCTCCAGAAGCAGAGGAGACTCCAGCGGCCGGGTCCTCAGGACCAGTAGGAGCTCCAGCGTCCGGGTCCACAGCACCAGCAGCAGCTCCACCGGCCGGGTCCTCAGCACCAGTAGTAGCTCCAACGCCCGGGTCCTCAGCAGCAGCAGCAGCGCCACCGCTCAGGTCCTCAGCTCCAGCAGCAGCTCCACCGTCCGAGTCCTCAGCACCAGCAGCAGCTCCACCGTCCGGGTCCTCAGCACCAGCAGCAGCGCCACCGCCCGGGTCCTCAGCTCCAGCAGCAGCTCCAACGTCCGAGTCCTCAGCACCAGCAGCAGCTCCACCAGGCGGGTCCGCAGCACCAGCAGCAGCTCCCACGTCCGGGTCCTCAGCACCAGCAGCAGCGCCACCCCCAGGGTCCGCAGCACCAGGAGCACCACTCCGAAGACTGCAGCGCCGTGTGTACCACTCGCGGATCTGCTGAATGGGGGGGAGCTCCTGGGTAGGAGGGGAAGTACCGGGACGAGCTCCAGCAGCACCTCTCCGGAGGCGGCAGTACTCGAGGTACCTCTCCTGCAGCTGCTGGGAGGAGAGGGCTCCTCCAGGTGTAGCACGCTCAGGCTCAGCACCCCCAGACTCAGCACCCCCAGACTTAGGACCCCCAGGCTCAGCACCTCCAGGCTCCGCACCTCCAGGCTCCGCACCTCCTGGCTCAGCACCCCCAGGCTCCGCACCCCCAGACTCAGCACTCCCAGGCTCAGCACCCCCAGACGCAGCACCCCCAGGCTCAGCACCCCCAGACGCAGCACCCCCAGGCTCAGCACCCCTAGCAGGACGAGAGTCAACAGCTACCTCGACAGGCTCACCCGGGTCTACCTGGGACACACCTGAGGGAGCGGCACCCTGAGGGGGGAGGGGGTCTGGTACCTCAGCACCTGGAGCGAGGAAGAGAGGCGGGGGGGGGAGCGGGGCAGTGCGGTAGGGAAAGAGGCGGTAGTAGGGGACGGACTCGTCAAAAGTGACGTCCTGAGAGGCCAGGACACGCCGCGAGGTGGGGTGGTAGAACTGCCAACCAGGGGCGTCCGGGACAAAGCCAAGGAAGACGCAAGGGACAGCGCGACGGGAGAGCTTGTCCGCGGACGTGTCGCGGACAAAAGCTCGGGATCCCCAGACCCGAAAACGCGACGCATCGCCAGCCTCTCCCGTCCAACGCAGTGTCGGAGAAGTCTCGGGCAAGGAGACACGGGGCCAGAGGTTGAGCTGATGCGCAGCGTATCGGACTGCAAACGGCCACAGAAAGTGGGGGGCAGCCGCATGAACCAAGGAGGTACGAGCGACCTCCATGACCAAGCCAATGCGGCGCTCAGCAACCCCATTCTGCTGTGGAGAGGCCGGAAGCGTGAACGACTGCTCAATGCCCTCCTGCTGACAGAAGGCCTCCAAGAGGCCAGAGGAAAACTCTCCACCTCTGTCAGAGTGCAGACGCAGGACAGGGAAGTCGGAGCGGAAACGCTCATTGAGCTTGAGACGAGCTCTGCGGATCCAAGGGATCAAGACATCAGGGACGTCACCCTTGGTGCGCAAGGGGAAGACCGTGGTGTAGCGCGAGAAGTCGTCAACAACAATCAGGAAGTACCTCTCCTGACCCTGGCCACGGACGCGGGCTGGGCCCCACACGTCCATGTGGAGCGTCTGCAAAGGAGCAGTCGTCGGGGGAAAGGAGGAGGAGTGAGGAGCGGCGCGCTGCCGCCCCTCGACACAGGGAAGACAGGGAGGAGCAGGCGAGGCTGGAAGGGGAGGGAGCACCCTGGGAAGACCAGCAACAAGGTCCCGTTTGTGCATGGCCCGAAGGCGCTGCACAGACGGGTGACCAAGGCGGTGGTGCCAAAGGACAGTCTCATGCGCCAGAGAGCGACACGAGCAGGGGGCGGACAGCTGACCTGACGCAGACGTAGACGCGGACGCAGCTACCTGAGGGGACTCAGTGGTCAGTGTGTAAAGGTCCGACCCCGGCTCCCGAGTGAAGGTAGCCAGGTGGCGACCCGTCCGAGCACACGTGCAGTGTGTCACGCGCTCGTAGGCAGGGGTGAACTGGTGAACACCCCCGTCCTGGAGCGCACTACCTGCCACCAAGTTCGTAGAGAACGAGGGGAGGTAGAGACCTGACAGCGTGCCGGACGGGACCGCCGAACAAGGAAGGACAGTGGAGGAGGTCGCAATGACCGGACCCCCAGAGGGGTCAGGAAGGGAGCGAGCAACTGTAACGCTACGCTGCGCATACCACTCACGGGCGGCCTGAAGTGTCGGGGCGGGCTGCTGACTCTGCCCTCCGCCAGTGCCTCCACGACCACCACCCCCACCGCCGCCGCCCCGGCCACCTCCACCCCTGCCGCCGCCACGACCACCTCCGCCTCCGCTGCCGCCTCCACCACCACTCCCACCGCTGCTGTCTCCTCCCCCACTGCCGCCACTGTTAAACTGTATTATGCTTGTAGGCTGTAGTGGGGTAGCCAATATGGGGTACAACCCCAACTAGGGTTTCATATTTGTACCCAAACTTCTGCTAGTTCATTCATTCTTGCCTAGCTATTCTGAAATGGTATTCAGAGCAGGAGGTCCCTAGGACCTACCGACCGTTTTTTTTTTAAGGGCCCACCACCGCTCGCATGCGGTTACCACGCTACCCCGTGCCCTAGCCTCGTAGCGCCCTCGTGCGCCCTCGTTAGCGCCCTCGCGCGCCCCTCGTTAGCGCCCTCGCGCGCACCCTCGTTAGCGCCCTCGCGCGCCCCTCGTTAGCGCCCTCGCGCGCCCCTTGCTAGCGCCCTCGCGCGCCCCTCACTAGCGCCCTCGCGCGCCCCTCGCAGTGTCGCCCGCCCGCCGAGCCGCCCGCTCGCAGCCCGCTCGTCCTGCTGCCCGCTTCGCAGCCCGCTCGCCCGCTCGCTGCCCGCTTCGCGGCCCGCCCGCCTCGCAGCCCGCTCGCTCGCTGCCCGCTCCGCGGCCCGCCCGCTACGCAGCCCGCTCGCTGCCCGCTTCGCGGCCCGCCCGCCCGCTCGCTGCCCGCTTCGCGGCCCGCCCGCCCGCTCGCTGCCCGCTTCGCGGCCCGCCCGCTTCGCAGCCCGCCCGCCCGCTCGCTGCCCGCTTCGCGGCCCGCCCGCTTCGCTGCCCGCTCGCAGCGCCGCCCGCCCGCCCGCTACCTGCTTTGCACCGCCGCCCGCTGCCTCACTGCCCGCTTGCTGCGTCCCCTCTGCTGCTGCCGCTGCTCTGCTGTGCCCTCACGCCTGAGCTATGGCCTCTATTCGCGTTCTTTCCTTCGATGCTGAGGGCCGTCCCGTGCAGTTCACTTCCTGGCTCGACGACCTGCAGTTGTATCTTATGAGCAATAGCACGGACCACATCTCCCTCTATGACTACGCGTCTGGTGCTGCCGCTGCTCCTGCTGCCACAGCCGAGCTTAGTGTTCGTTCCCACTGGCAGACTCGTGACGCAGCTGCTCGCCTAGCCATTCGCAGTCACCTGCCGCTAGCTGAGCTCGAGCATTTTGGCGACTGCAAATCCGCTAAGGCCCTGTACGATGCTGTCGTTGCTCGCTACTCCTCGCCTGCCACAGCCGAGCTTAGCCGCCTCATGCTGCCGTACCTGTTCCCCGATCTGTCCACCTTTACTACAGTCGCCGATCTTATCACCCACCTTCGCACTAGTGATGCTCGCCTGCGTGCCGCCCTTCCCACCGAGTTCTGCGCTAAGAACCCCCCTCCACTGTACTGGACACTACACTTCATAGTCACCCGTCTCCCTGACACCCTCCGCTCAGTTCGAGACCACTTCCTTGCTCGCTGTCCCACTGAGCTCACAGTCGCCCTCCTAGAGGAGCAGCTGCTCGCGGCCGCATTGTAGCTGTTGGTGCTGCTCGTGGCGCTCCTCGCACCCCCATCTTTGAGGGGTGTTCTCCCTCTCCCCTCGCTCCCTCCTACGCTGCTGCTGCTGCTGTTGACTTCCTTGGTGCTGAGTCTGTTGGCGCTGCTTCTGCTCCTGGTGGGAGGCGCCGCACCGGCAAGGGCAAGGGGGGCAAGGGTGGTGGTGGTGGCGCTGGGGGGGGAGGAGGTGGGGGAGGTGGGGGGGGAGGCGGTGCTGGAGGGAGCGGTGGCGGGAGCGCTGGTGGGAGTGGGGTCGGTGGTGGAGGCGGGGGCGGCGGCGGAAGCAGTGGCAGTAGTGGCGGCGGCGGCGGTGGCGGCGGTGGCGGTGGTGGCGGTGGTGGCGGTGGCGGTCGGAGCGGTGGTAGTGGTGGCGGCGGCGGTCGGAGTGGAGGCACTGGCTCTGGCCAGAGCTCCCAGCAGCAGCAGCGTCCCCAGACGACCCAGCAGCTTCGTGAGTGGCTTGCTCAGCGTGGGACGTCGGGGGGCAGTGGCCGCTGTTCTTATGTCATTCGCACAGGTGACCGCAAGGGACAGACGTGATGGGCGCGGATGGGGACGCTGCTGGGCTGAGCTCATGAGGGCTGGTGTTGATGTCTTTGCTCTTGACTATGATGCTATTATTGCTGCCATGTATGCATTGACTGTTAGTGCCGAGGGAGACTGTTACTTGTGTGTGCCGCCTGACCCAGGTATAGAGCCCGCTGCCCTGGGTACTAGTGAGTCTGCTCTCTCTGGTATGGTACCCCCTGTACTTGCCCCCCCCAGTGCTGTCCTGGCTGGTTTTGAGTCTGCTCTCTCAGGTACAGCACCCACAGAGACTGCTCTCTCAGGTACCGCACCGGCTGAGGCCTGTCACACCTTCACCCTTGACTCAGGTGCTTCCCGTTGCTTCTTTCGTGACAGTACTGAGCTCACACCGCTTCCTGCACCGGTCCCAGTCTCCTTGGCTGACCCCTCTGGGGGCCCAGTCCTTGCCCAGTCCACCACTGTCCTCCCTTGTCCGGCGGTTCCGTCTGGCTCGTTGTCGGGTTTCCACCTCCCCTCGTTCTCGACGAACCTGGTGAGCAACGCTGTCCTCCAGGATCAGTGGGTTGACACCTTTACCCCTGGCGGACAGCGTGTGGCGATCTGCACGTGCTCCAGGACCGGCCGTCACCTGGCTACGTTTACCCGTCGGCCGGGGTCGAGTCTCTACACACTGACCACTGCGTCTCCTCAGGTCTGGTAGCCCACGCCTGTGAGTGTCGTTCCCTGTCGCACCAGACTCTTCTCTGGCACCACCGCCTGGGTCACCCCTCCTTGCCACGCCTTCGTGGCATGCACCGTCGCCACCTTGTGTCTGGTCTTCCCAGGTCCCTCCCTCCCCTCCCTGCCTCGCCTGCGCCGCCTTGCCTTCCTTGCGTCGAGGGGCGGCAGCGCGCTGCTCCTCACTCCTCCTCGTTCCCCCCGACAGAGGCTCCTCTGCAGACCCTCCACCTGGACGTGTGGGGCCCAGCCCGCGTTCGTGGTCAGGGCGGTGAGCGGTACTTTTTGCTGGTTGTCGACGACTACTCGCGTTACACCACGGTCTTCCCCTTGCGCACCAAGGGTGAGGTCCCTGCTGTTCTGATCCCTTGGATCCGCACGGTTCGTCTCCAGCTCCGCCGCCGTTTCCGGACGGATCTTCCTGTCCTGCGTCTGCACTCTGACAGAGGTGGTGAGTTTTCCTCCGATCTCTTGAGGACCTTCTGTCAGGCGGAGGGCATCGAGCAGACCTTCACGCTTCCGGACTCCCCACAGCAAAATGGGGTTGCTGAGCGCCGCATTGGCCTGGTCATGGAGGTCGCTCGTACCTCCTTGGTCCACGCGGCGGCTCCCCATTTTCTGTGGCCGTTTGCTGTCCGGTACGCCGCGCATCAGCTCAACCTCTGGCCCCGTGTCTCCTTGCCGGAGACCTCGCCCACACTGCGTTGGACGGGGGAGGTTGGCGATGCGTCGCGCTTCCGGGTGTGGGGTGCTCGTGCCCTTGTCCGCGATACGTCCGCGGACAAGCTCTCCTCCCGCACGCTTCCCTGTGTCTTCCTTGGCTTTGTCCCTGACGCGCCTGGCTGGCAGTTTTACCACCCCACCTCGCGCCGGGTCTTCGCCTCTCAGGATGTCACCTTTGACGAGTCGGTCCCTTTTTACCGTCTCTTCCCCTACCGCACTGCCCCCCTCCCTCCCCCGCCGCTTTTCCTTGCTCCTGGTCCCCCTCCGGTAGACCCCCTTCCCCCTCAGGGTCCTGCTCCTTCAGGTGTCTCTCAGGTAGACCCTCCTCCCGTCGCTGAGCCTGTCGAGTTCACAGGTGACTCAGGTGCTGCTGCGGGTGGTGCTGCTGGGAGTGCTGAGCCTGGGGGTGCTGAGCCTGGGGGTGCTGGGCCTGGGGGTGCTGGGGCTGCAGGTGCTGGGACTGAGGGTGCTGGAGCTGAGGGTACGGTGCCTGAGAGTACGGAGCCTGGGGGTGCTGAGCCTGGGGGTGCTGAGCCTGCGGGTGCGGGGCCTGGGAGTGCTGGGACTACGGGTGCTGGAGCTGAGGGTACTGTGCCTGAGAGTTTGCCGCCTGGGGGTGCTGAGCCTGGGGGTGCTGCGACTGGGGGTGCTGAGCCTGCGGGTACTGAGCCTGCGGGTACTGAGCCTGGGGGTGCTGCTACTGAGCCTACGGAGCCTCGGGTTACTGCGTCTGGGGGTGCTCCGGTTCGGGGTGCTGAGCAGTCTCTCACACCGCAGCAGCTTCGTGACTGGTACGTCCGGCGCTTTCGCCGTCCTAGTGGCTCGGCTGGAGTTGGGGGTGCTGGGGCTGCTCGTCCTGGGGGTGCTCGTACTGGGGGTACTGGAGCTGCCGGGACTGGTTGTTCTGGGAGCACTGCGACTGGAGCTGCTGGAGCTGGGGACCCTGGCGCTGGCGGTGCTAGCGGAGTTGGAGCTGCCGACTCTGGGGGTGGCGCTGCTGCTGGTGCTGCGGACCCGCCTGGTGGAGCTGCTGCTGGAGCTGAGGACCTGAGCGGTGGCGCTGCTGCTGGTGCTGGGGACCCGGCCGTTGGAGCTCCTGCTGGTGCTGAGGACCCGGCCGCTGGAGTCTCTTCTGCTTCTGGAGACGCTGCGCGGCCGCGACCGTACTTCGTCCCGCTCCTTCAGCAGGTTCTTGGGCAGGCTCCTCCTCCTTGTCCTCCTCCCTCCGTAGAGTGTCCTCCGCCTGTCCAGCCGCAGTCACAGTTACCGCCTGCCTCGCCTCTCCCTGCTCCCTCTCCTTACACTGGTCCCACAGGAGGTCTTACAGAGCGTCGTGAGCCTGAGTCTCGTCCTGCGTCACCTGTTCGTCCTGCTCGCGCTGGTAGTCGTGTCCGTCGTGAGCGTCCTCCTCCTGTCCCAGGCACTCACTATATGACTCTGCGTCCCTCTACTGCTCCTCGGCGTGTCCCTCTACCGTCTCCTCCTGCGTCCTCTTTACCTGCCGTTCCGGACCCTGAGTCTGACCGGTATCGCGCTGAGCACCCTACAGTCACGCGTCTCCTAGCTACTGTTGTCACTGACCCTACCTTTGAGTCCTCTGCTGCGTCTGCTCTGGTCGCTGAGTTGGTTGACTTTGCTGCTGCCTGTCGTCTAGACTACGCTGCTAGCCTTGTTGCTGAGCCTGAGTCTGCGTCTGTCTGTCCTCCGTCCGTCGGGGGTGAGTGTGCTCTTGGCACGGACGTCCTTGAGGACAGGCAGGAGGACTTTGACTCTCTTGCGGCTGCTGTACCTCATCTCGTGGCCTGGTTGCTTGCCCCTGAGGGAGACCCGGATGCACTAGACATCCCCACTCCGCGCACTTACGCAGAGGCGATCTCGGGTCCCTACTCCTCTCAGTGGCAGACAGCCATGGACGCAGAGATGGCATCCTGGAAGTCCACAGGCACCTACGTCGACGAGGTTCCCCCTCCTGGGGCGAACATCGTCGATGGCATGTGGATTTTCAGGGTGAAGCGGCCGCCAGGTTCTCCGCCTGTCTTCAAGGCTCGTTACGTTGCTAGAGGCTTCAGTCAGCGTCAGGGGGTCGACTTCTTCCAGACCTTCTCCCCCACCCCGAAGATGACCACTCTTCGGGTTCTGCTGCACGTTGCTGCTCACCGTGACTACGAGCTTCACTCTCTTGACTTCAGCACAGCGTTCCTGCAGGGCAGCCTGCACGAGGAGATCTGGCTGCGCCGCCCACCTGGCTTTACTGGGTCGTTTCCTCCTGGTACCCAGTGGAGCCTCCGCCGGCCAGTCTACGGTCTCCGCCAGGCGCCACGTGAGTGGCACGACACACTGAGGACTACACTTGCGGCTCTTGGGTTCGCGCCGTCTACTGCTGACCCGTCGCTGTTTCTGCGCACAGACACGTCGCTGCCGCCGTTCTACATTCTTGTGTACGTCGACGACTTGGTCTTTGCTACTGCTGACACTGAGGCACTCGCTCGTGTGAAGTCGGAGCTGCAGAAGAGACACACCTGCACTGACCTGGGTGAATTGCGTAGCTACCTTGGCTTGCAGATCACCCGGGACAGAGCTCGCCGCACCATCACCCTGACTCCGTCACACATGGTGCAGCAGGTCCTTCAGCGCTTCGGCTTCCAGTTCTCCTCACCACAGGCCACACCTCTGGCTACCAGCCACTCGCTCTCAGCTCCACCTTCAGACGAGTCCGTAGAGCCGAGTGGCCCGTACCCAGAGCTTGTAGGCTGCCTCATGTACCTGATGACTTGCACGCGACCTGACCTCGCGTACCCTCTTAGCATCCTTGCTCGTTACGTTGCGCCTGGGAGACACAGGCGAGAGCACTGGGAGGCGGCTAAGAGGGTGCTGCGTTACTTGTGCAGTACATCAGGCATGGGGCTGGTGCTTGGAGGACACGACAGAGTTGTCCTCACTGGTCACTCGGACGCTTCTTGGGTGGACAACCTGGCTACGCAGCGATCGTCACAGGGTTACACCTTCAGCCTT